CTGAAGGAGGTGGCTAATTGAACACTAAAAAATAATTATTCATCATAGTTACATTTGTGTTCACAGAGTCAAACTAACCTCAGATCCACCCCATATCATCTTGGTATCGTGCATCCTACTAGTTTAGATAGTCTAAATTTGATCAAAGTGCTGATCAAAATGAGTCTCCATTTGATCAAATCACTGGACCATCTCCTGAAAGTAATTCTGATCAGGTCCCTGAGTAGGTGCAGGTGCTCCCCCTTTTCCCTCAATATCCTCACTTGAACTCTCATTCCTCCCTAACAAAGACCGTAAAGAAGCATCAGTGAAGAAGATTGGCATTTCAGTGGGAGGATCAGGATGAATAATGTTGTACTTCTTTTCTAAAATATTGGTCACTAAGTGTCATAGAGCAATATTTTTCTTCCTCTTATGATGAGGAAGCACAATTTTAGAAAGGTTATAAATGCAATCCAAGATGAGTTGGGCCTCATCAATAGGTTATCCAGTTACGATCAAATAGGTAATGATGGACATAAGAGGAGTCATATTTATGCGATCACCATCTCTAGGAATGATTAAAATTCTTAAGACATATTGGATGACCTTGGCATTTTGGTTCAAAGTGTAAACTCTAGCTAAGTGACATACTTAAGTTACACCTCTAAGAGTTTTATTTATCTCAGACCAGTCATAGTAAGATTTAGAGGTTAAGGTGTGTGCTCTAGTCCCACGAGTCCTTAAGTGAAGAAACGTTCCTAGATCTTCCTTAGTAATTTCCATAAGTTTTTTTTTTTTTTGACAAAAGAAGTTATCCTACTTTCATCCTCACCGACCCTCAAATTTGTTAGGAAATAGTGAAAAGTTTCTCTCTGATAAGCATAAATTAAAATCAAAATGAAGGAGAACTGGGTTGAAGCAAATAGAGGCATAACTGAAAAGTGGATTTCATCTTGAATTAGTAGTCTTGAAGGAGTGATTTTGGCAGCTATATACCTATAAAAAGAATTATCATTATCTTTAGACAATAAGTTGTCGTCCCCACCCCTGGATGACGATCCCTTAGTAACTCAAGAGCACTTGCTAGAACTTGCCATTCCTAGGTTGGAGCCTCTAGAATGATTTACGAAGGATTTGGAAGTGAATGGAAATGAATTCAATAGTCCTCCTATTTTTTTTAAAAAATAACCCATCATAATGTATAAAAATGGCTTCATACATATGATCTTGAGATCGTGTGGGATGAAATAATTTTTGTATGGATGAATGATAACGTCCAAAATGAAACAACTTTTTGTAAACACATAATTATGATGCATCCTTTCATACAGAATTTTGACCATACGATCGTACATACGAATAGGTGTTCGTCCGGGACTATCAGTTATTTAAAATCATTTTAATGACGGTTAAGTTTGTCCCATATGGAAAATGACACGTGGATTATACAAATAAAATATAATTTCATACATAGGATTAATTATAATAATGAATCTAACCGAATAACCATCCACATGTGTACAAACAAATATGTATAGTTCGTACAGTACAAAAATCTAGAATTTTTGCGATTAACTCTAGAACAAATCAAAGATATGCTACAGAATTCATATAATACGAATAAAACATTAAGAAAATAAAATCAAGAAATTTTTTTAAAATTCAATCAACCTTACATAAGTGACAAACATCTAAATTAAAAAAAAACTCTGAAAATAAAAACACTAATAACTAAAACAAAAATAAATTCAAACATACATAAAAACATATTAAGTTTGGAGAGGATTTTATCTATATATTAAGATCAATCACACCTGACCTTGTTCTTAAGGTGCTAAAAGTATAAAAAGGCTAGTGGTTTTATAAAAATATTTGCAAGTTAGTTTTCATTTTAAACAAGATTCAATTCAATTTCTCATTTGACTATATGATCTCTAATAAAATGATGTTTTATGTTTATATGTTTGTTTCTAGAATATTGAATATGATTTTTTGAAATGCAAATGACACTAGTGTTATCACAATAAACTGGAATTATACCTATTATAAATCCTAAATCAATTAATTATTATTTCAATCAAAAAACTTGTGCCACACAACTTCTTAAGATAATATATTCAGCTTCAGTGGTAGATATGACAACAGAATTATATTTTCTATTAGATAAAAAAACTAATGAATTTCTTATAAATTAATAAGTTCTAGATATACTCTTTCAATCAACCCTACAACCTATAAAGTCTAAATCAAAATATCCAATAATTTTAAATGAAGATCTGTACTTGTGATACTAAATCCCTAAGTTTTGAGTTCCCAAAAGATATCTCAAAATCCTTTTTACTGCTATCAAATGTGTTTCTTTTGGATATGATTGAAATCTAGCACACAAATAAACACTAAACATAATATATGGTGTGCTAGTTGTCAAATAAAGAAAAGTTCCAATAATGTTTTTAAATTTCTTTTGATCAATAGATTTCTCCTTTGGGTTCTTATCCAATTGAACTGAGGAACTCATTGGTGTACTTACTGGTTTAGTATTATCCATTTCATACTTATTTAAGATGTCCTTAACATACTTTAACTGATTAAGAAATGTTCCCTCCTAAATTTGTTTAATACTAAAATAAAAAAATAACTTAAGTCTCCCATTAAACGCATCTTAAATTTACTATTCATTATTTTTAAATAATCTTTACAAAGATTTTTAGTTGTAGATCAAAAAATGATATCATCAACATCTATCTGAACAATGAGTATATCATCTCCTAATTTCTTTAAAAAGAGAGTGGTGTCGATACTTACTTTTACAAAAGATCTTCTTAATAGAAAATCGCTTAACCTCTCATACCAAGCCATAGGTGCCTGCTTCAATACATACAATACATTTTTCAATTTATACACATGTTTAGGGAATTTAGAACTTTCAAAACTTGGAGGTTGCTTAACATATGCATCATCTTGTATCACCCCATTCAAAAAGCACTTTTAACATTCATTTGAAATAATTTAAATCCTATAAAATAGGCAAATGCTAGCAAAATTCTAATTGCTTCAAGTCTTACTTCAGAGGCAAAAGTCTCATCAAAATTAATCCGTTCAATTTGATTATACCCCTTAGCCACCAATTTAGCCTTATTTTGAATAAGAACTCCTGAGTCTTTCATTTTTTTTTTAAATCCCCTCTTAGTTCAAACTATTGTTTGATAATTTAGCCTTCCAATCAATTCCCAAACATCATTTCTTACAAACTTATTTAACTCTAATTGTATGTCTAAAATTCATCAAAAAGTGCTTGATTATTATTTATGGCTTATATCATTTAAATAAATGCATAATGGTTAACTTCTTTGCTAAGTCTATGACTAGTCCTAACACCCTTATTAGGTTCACCTAGAATAAATTTCTTAGGGTAATTTTTAAAAAATTTGAATTCTCTAGATATATGATTTTCTAATTCTAAATTTTCATCCAAATTAATCTTCTCAATCATTTGAGAGTTATTTTCTATATCATTATCTTCCAAACTTTACTCTTTCAAAATATCTGATTCATCAAATATAACATGTATGGTCTCCTAAACTATCAAAGTTCTTTTGTTAAATACTCTATATGATTTTCCAACACTAGAGTATCCAAGAAAAATTCCTTCATCTAATTTTGGATCAAATTTTCCTAAAGGAGATTTTCCATTATTATGAATGAACACCTTACATCCAAAAATATATAAATGTGATAAATTAGGTGTTCTCCCTTTAAAAACTCATAGGGTATTTTGTTGAATTTCAATCTAATGTTCACCATATTCACAATATAACATGCAGTATTAACCACTTCAGCCCAAAAATATTTAAGAAGTGAATATTATGCTAACATGGCTCTAGAAGTATCAATTAATGTTATGTTCTTTATTTCAACTATGCCATTCTGCTAAGGGGTCCTAGGTGAAGAAAATTGTGATCAATTCCATGTTCTTTACAAAAATCTTCAAATTTTTTATTTTTAAATTCACCTCTGTGATCACTTTGAATTGTTAAAATTTCACATCCTAGTTTCCTTTGAATTCAAGTCAAAAAAAATATCTAAATTCTTATAATGATTCACTCTTATGAAATAAAAATTCACCCATGTGAATCTTGAGAAATCATCAACTAGCACAAATGCGTATACCTTCCCTCTTAGACTTACAGTGTTAACTGGTCCAAAAAGATTTATATAAATTATTTTTAATGGTTTGCTAATTTTAAGATCCTTAGTGGAATGAAATGAGGACTTAACCTATTTTTTTAGTTGACATACATCACAAAGATGATCCTTAGTAAAGTCTAATTTTTGTATACCTCTAACTAGTTTCTTTTGGGTAATTTTTCTAAGGTTTTTCATGCTAACGTGATAAAGTCTCCTATGCCATAATCAAGATTCATAAAAAATTATGTTTAAACAAAAAGCATTAAGAGTCTTAATATAGTTCAAATTTAGCACATAAGTATTATTTATCTTGGTTCCATGCAATCAAGGTTTTGAAAATCGGACCGGACAACGAACCGGAAGAAGTAGAGGTTCACGGTTCGACCGGTTGAACTGGGGTCGAACCGGATAATGTAATAAATAATAATATTATTAATAAAAATAAAATAAATATTAAATTTTCCTGTAATACCTTCATTCTACATTCTATTTTCATAGCACCTAATTCAAATAACATGAACATAACATCAATTAAGTTTATGAAATATAAACAAATAACACATAATATAAGTGTTGCATCAAATAAGTCAATAAAACATAAACAAATGCATAGTTTTTGTCATCAAACAAAATGTTCATAATTTCATATTAAGGCAAACTTCAACGTTCAAACATAAATATGAAAATAAAGCTAGAACTCGTCTCCTAGATTTGAAGCATCAAAAGTTATATCCATAAATCCTTGTTCATCAAAACATTCCCCTCCAAAAGCATCAATATCGTCATTGTCAATTATTTCATTCTCATTTCAAACATCATCAAGGACATCATCATATTCCAGAAGAGGAAGATGTTTGGCTGAGAATTCTAACAGCTAATTTCTGCAAATTTGGGGCACTTGATCCGAACATCTTCCACCATTCATCTATAAAGAGATAAATATTAGTTAATTAATATTTGATATGCATGATAGAATAAATGCATTCTAACCAATTTATTTCACTTACCAGGCTGCATTTCTTTGGCCATTCTTAGAGCAATTGGTTTCCCAAAGCTTTCTAAATTGTCACGGAATAGCCTAACTTCATTCATTGTTACTGTTGATTTAGGACATATATCTTTATTTCCAATCAGTTCAGTTAAACCTTGCAGTACTTCAGGTTTTTGGCAAAAATTATCTTTATCATACTGAAAATGTGGATTAAGATAATATGCTGCACAATGTATACCTTGTCTTAGCTGACTATCCCATCTCCTCTTTATAATACTTGTGTAAGGTTTGTACAACCTTTTGACATTCCTAAACATTAACTTGATTGCTCTCCTTGCTCTGTACATTCCATCATAAAGAAATCCTATTGATGGTTTTTCATCCGAATCCACAATTCTCAATAATCGAATTAAAGGCCCAGTCAATTTGGAACTTACCAAACAGTCATTCCAAAATTTATTATCTAAAATGATAGATGATGCTTCTTGCCCTTTGACTGTTTTGGAAATCTTTGATTCAAAGAAAGCTTTGCTTGTTATAAAAGCCTGTAAATGTTTCTTGTGTTCAGATATGCTTTTCAAAGTGATGAAAGTTGTAGCAAATCTAGTTGCTCCAGGCCTAATAATCTCTTTCCAACCTTCTTTTTTTCTTAGCCAAGCTAGAATAAAGACATGATTGTAGATGAAAATTGTAACTTTTGAAGCTCTTTGGGCAAGATCCTGAATGTGAGGCATGTTCCCAAAATCTTTAAGAATAAGATTTAAACAGTGTGCTGAACATGGAGACCAATAAATGTTGCCAAACCTTTCATGTAGTAATTCACCGGCCTTTTTATAATTTGCAGCATTATCTGTTACAAGCTGCACAACATTCTATGGCCCCACCCATTCTACAACTTCACCAAATAGTGAACAAAGTGTCTTCGCATCTTTGTAATATCAGAAGCATCAACAGATTTCAGGAAAGCTAAGCCCCTTGTACAATAAACAAGAAAATTAATCAAAGTTCTATTCCTGTTATCTATCCAACCATTTGCCATGAGTGTGCAACCTATTTCTTTCCAAGATCTTCTATATGAATCTATCAGCAACCGACATTCCTCTTTGCAATCTCGCAGAAGATTAACTCTCAATTTGTGATAGGATGGCAACTTATAACCAGGTCCAATTGCAGCTATAGCATCAATTGCCTTCTGCGCAAAAGGAGAGTTTATGGCATTGAAGGGGATGCAACTATCATAGACCATCTTCCAACTGCTAAATCAGCATGATATATGACTTCTTTGAAAGCCATTACACTTTTCAATGAGGGTTGAGAACTTGGTTTAGTTCTTGGTGCAAAAAAGTTATCTATTTCATCTTTCTTTCTCTTCCCTTTATCAAGTCCTTCATGGTGTGCATCAGAGGTTTGTGACTTTGGAAGTGATGAAGACCCCCTTTCATCATCTATATGTTCATCAACAAACAATGTTGTGTTGTGCTCTAACTCCTCATGGGTTTGTACTTTTTTCTTTCCTATTTCTTTTAAATTTTCTATCATCTGGCGATGAATGTCATGTGGGACTTTTTTGCACGAAGATATGTTAGTTCTTACTCCTGCTAGATGCTTCTTTATCCTATTAATTCCTCCACCTTTATATATAATCCCACAATGTAGGAATATATATTGTTTTTTTCCATCTGCACCTTTACTTTCACTACAATGACTCCAAGCAATATCGATCTTTTCACGCACACCATGAGACGAAACTGTTGGTTGATCCATTTTATATATAATGCTAAGGTATGTGGAGAACGACAAAAAACACCAATCAGAACATAAACACAATCTTAATAAATAATCATAAATCATAAAATGTACAAGTGCACTTACAGTTAAAAAAACACATCAGTTCGTGTAGATTTAAAGTCCTCAAGTTTTTTAAAACAATTATCTAAAGTCATTTAAATAGATTCCATCAACATTCAAAGATTTTTTAGTATCTTCCCCATGCAGCAGTAATTTCTAATTTGCAAAGAATTTGTTCGAGTAGATTACAAGCAAACTCAAGCACTTGATTAACACTGTATTTAAGCATATTCAATTAACACGGTTCAATTGGCCTAAAATGATTAACCAAAAGTTAGAATACATATAACTGTATAAAAATAGAACTCAGAAACATACCGAACACAAAGAATGTAAAACTATTTAAGTCGATCACATATATTACTTAACAAATAGCTACAATCGTGAAATGTCTCTAAGGCTTAAAAACCTTGCTCTAAATAGTTGCCAATTCAAACAAAAAACAAATATTGTCTCCATGAAATGAAACTTTCAAACATAAACCCAAAGGCTTGCCAATCCAAAAAAAAAAAAACAAAGATTTTCATGGAAAGGAAACATTGAAACATAAACATAGAACTGAAATTTCAATTCCACCATCAAACAAGAAAACTCATCAAGATTCACAGCCTATCGTCGGCTGCAAATAGGAGCAAGGAGAAGTGCGAGAAAATTAAAAAACTCACGGTGGATAGGAGAGGAGAACTTGACCAAGAGAAGGAAGCCTTCAATGAGTTCGATCAGCTCCGTTGCTCCGGCAAAACAACACCTCCCGTCCGAATGGAGTCGCGATTTGTAAACAACTCCGTCGCTCTGCCTGGATGAATCGCAAAAATGAGGAGAAGAATAGGGTTTCACGATTTGTAAATTTTGTATTTGTTTTGTTACTCTCTTTCTCTAAGCCATTGGATTAAATTGGAAGGCTAAAAAAGGTTTTATTTGAACCGGCCGATTTTTTATAACAAGGCCGGTTTTTTGGTTCGTCGGTTGAACCGCCGATTCGACCGATTCAATCCCGGTTCTTTACTGAAACAATTCTTAAGCAGCCCGTAACCGGCCGGCCGGCCGGTTCGGGGTTCAACCGGTTGAACCGGCCGGTCCGGTCCGGTTTTCAAAATGTTGCATGCAATACATCATTTCTATTTAGGCTTAATATACAACTAGCAGGAAAAAATTTAACACTAAACTCTTTATCACATAGCTGGCTAATACTTAACAAATTATTCTTTAAGCCTCCTCTAAGTAAAACATCCTCAATGAAAAAATTATTCAAGTTTCGATCATACCTATGCCAACAACTTTCCTAGTGGTATTATCTTCCAGTGTAATCTTGCCTCAATTCCTGGCTTCTAGTGATATGAATCATGTAGTGTCTCCAGTCATATGATTCAAGCAACCACTGTCCAGGTACCAAATGCTCTTACGAGGTCTTGTATGAGAGCATACGTATAAAATAATCAAATGTTAGACTTGGGAACCCAAAATAGTTTGGATTCTCCTCTTGGTAAAATTAAACAATATGCATATATGATATGACTTATTTTATGCATTTTAAGTCTCCACACTAAAAGAGTTTTTTATGTAAAGTACAAGTGTGTGAAATATGTCCAATCATCCCACAAGTAAAACGCTTAACTCCAGGAAAAGGATTTTTTAATCTCAGATGATAAATTTATCTCTTCCTAAGTTTTAAAATTTCTGACTTCAAAATAGGATTAGTAAAATCTTCAAGTTTGGGGCCTATTTTTTCAAGAGCTTTCACTTTCAATTTAATAAATGTGTTTACATCTTTTAACACATTACTATCATATTTTAGATAATGCTCCCTATTTTTAGATTCATATGTAAAAGATTTAAATTCTTTTTGTAGTTCAGTGTAGAATGATTTTAGAAGATCATTTTGCTTATTTAATTTATCAAATTCATCTATTAAGGTAATGTGATTGTTATCAATCAGTGTGTGATCTCTTCTAAGGGTTTCATGTTCTTTTTGTAACTCTTATAATTCTAAGTTCAATATAATATGCATTTTCTTGATTTTTCTATATGCAATATGAATTCTTGCAGAAACTTCAAGCAATTTATCATAGGTTAAATCATATACCTCTTTTTGTTCTGATTGATCAAGATTATTGGCCATTAAACACAAGTTGATGACTTCTTCTTCTATTTCTATATCTGATAAATTGAAGTCGAGTCCTCCTAGAAAGCTCTCTAAAATCTGTTCTTGCCCTTCCTCCCATTTTCTTTCTCCTCTAGCTTCTCCTTGTTAGGAGTGGCTTTAAAATTAGAGTAGTCCGTTTTTATATGTCCAGGTTTCTTGCATTCATAAAAAATCACATCATTAGAAACCTTAATATTTTTGTGGAACTTACATTTATTCCACTTATGGCGTCTCCTTTACATCCTTTTAAGAAAATGCCCGATTTTCATTGTCATTAAGGTAATATCATCCTCAAGTTGTGACTGATCACTCTTCGAGTCATCCACTTTTGGTGCTATGTTCTTCTCTTTTCACTGTTTTCCTGCATCAATCTTCCTTTAACTTACTCCATACTCGTAATCAACTAGCGATCCAAGAATATTATTAATAAAATAAACATTTAAGTCCTTAAAATCTATAATAGAAGTTATTTTAGTATCATAACCAGTAGGCGAATAAAAATGAATTTTATTAACCATTTCATCATTCATTAGTTCCCTACCTAATGCATGCAAAGAAGTGACTTTTTGAGTGAATCTTGTGTACATATCAGAAATAGATTCATTAGGTTTAATACAAAATAATTCATAATCATGTAATAAGATATTTAATCTAGATTGCTTCACTTCATTAGTCCCTTCATATATGATACAAAGCCTATCATAAATTTCCTTTTCACTTTTGCAAGTAGAAACCCGCATGTAATATTCAAATTTAAGTGCATAAAAGAAACTATTTAAATATTTTATAATTAATTATATAAGTCACATTCTTTTACAGTCCAGTTAGTAAATAGTTTTTCAACTCTAATGCCATCTACAAGTCTAGTTGGCCTAATATATCCTTCTTGAACTAAAAGCCATATGCGATAGTCAAGTGATTGAGAAAATATAGACATATGTGTTTTCCAAAAATTGAATGAGATATTATCAAATAATAGAGGTATAGTGATCCAATACCCTTCAGGTGTGTTTTTGTTTCCAAAAGTAGCCATTGTTATTTTCAAAAAGTAGCTTAAACTTATAGTTTTGAAACAAAGCCATACCACTTGTTGATTCCGTATAGGTTATTAATCCTATGCTAATGTCCCAAGGCTAACCAAGAGAGGGGGGGGGGGGGTGAGCAACAGGGGGGGGGGGGGGGGGGGGGGGGTGAATTGATAATTTAAGTTTTTTTTTTTGGATTTTTTAATAGAAAATTGATTTTTTTATTTTTTGTAAAAGTAAAATTTTTAATCATAAATACTAAAGTGTGGAAGGATAAAAATGTGGAATATAAAAAAACGCACATATTTATACTGGTTTGGTCTAACAAGACCTACATCCAGTTCTTGAAGACTCCATATTCATGTGTTGCACTATTACTAAAAGTGACTCACATTTTGCCCCCTCAGCAAGGCGGAGAAGCCTACATTATTATTCTCTCTTCTACTAATCCTCGGTGTGGTAGAGAATCATCATCCTTTCACACCCTCCAAGTATCGAAAGAGAATCGTCATCTGTTCACACTCTCCAAGTTTCGATAGAGAACCGTCATCCTTTTTACACCCTCCAAGTATCGACAGAGAATTGTCATCTGTTCGCACTCTCCAAGTGTCGGTAGAGAACCGTCGTCCTTTCACACACCCTCCAGTATTGACAGAGTACCAGATCTTCTTCAAAGATCTTCTCTCGAGCAACTAAGAAGAAGAAAAGAAGAGTAGTA